TGAACTGAAACAAAAGGAAGAGTTGCTTATCACACACATATATACCTGTAACAGGGTCCTCTGGAATTCCATTCCAAGGTGCAAAATATCTGGAGTAAAAATCATAGCCTTTCCCACTGGAATTTCCCTTAAGAGTGAGGATGAGCCCTTTCACTTTTCCCGTCTTTTCAACTGACAAAAAGCGTTGTGTACTCACTTGCAGTTCTTCCAACACAGACCTTGAACAGAAATTATAAAATTTTATTAGCCCATATTCTTCATTTTACCTGAATATAAGTACTGAAAAGAAAAATAAAACTATAAAATCATCTTCTCCACAATTCCCAAACAGCCTTAAAATTATTAGAGGAGACATTGTCCTCTCAATGGTTTTTGACAGAAATCATCCTGAATATTATACTCGGTGAGTGAGCAGAGAGAAAAAAGCTAAAGCCACGCATTTTCTATTTATTTCTAAAATCAGAGCATCCTGGAACAGCAGATACCAAAACAAACAAACAAACAAAAAAACCAAAACGCTTTCATTTTAATCTTTTAGTTACAGAACAAGCAGAGTAAGTGCTCCACCTCCTTTCAGAGCAAGCAAATAACACCATTCAGCCCTTCATGGCATTCTAAAGCAGTCTACAGCTGTCTGATACCTCTCTGCAAAATAAAGTTTGAAAGAGTAAAAATAATAAGTACTCACATCTATTCCATCTATTTCTATCTTCCCTTACCCCAATCTTTAAACATTAGTTAGGCCAAACTTCAAGTCTGTAATAGTAGTAACTTGGTCTGACCGAAGAAGTTGTGTTTCCACAATATATATCTAAGTCATATTTGATTAACAATGACATTCAGCTCTATGAGATTCACAAACACTTTGGAATCATTTGAATTGGAATTTTCTCTACAAAGCTACTTACAGTGCTGTTAAGCATGTGAAAGCAGATTACAGTCCATTGGGAGTAAGAACCCCTGGCATTCTGTCAATGGGCTCTGAATCTAAGCAGGACTCCCAACTTCCTGCCAGCTCACTGGATCATTTCACACTCAGATGGAAGGGGGAAATACACTATGGTTAAAAGTGTTTCCTACACCTCCTTTTCTTCAAAAAGAAGATTTCAGATTGATTTTATTCACTTCTGCAGGTTCAGGAAGTTCAAAATGGAAGATAAAATAACCATTTAATGGAGAAATTTAAATTAGAGTTTGTAATCTCCACCTGATTTAAAACTAGATAGGGGAACTTAGTATCTAAGGAGCAGAGATTAAACAAGACAACCCAATTTCTGCATTCCTGATTTAAAAAAAACACAAACAAGTATTAGACACCTTTCATAAGTATCACTGAGACGGACCAAAAGTTTCTTTGTGTCAGGAGAGTAACAGACATCTTGAACACTCATGTCACCAACTGCTGCCTGGTGGAAAACATAAAGGAGACAAGGGAAAACGTCACCATTGGAATATGAAATGCTGTTTCCTTCACATTTTTGGGGAACATATAGGTTCTCTTTTTACCTTTATTAATTCTTCTACTTCCTCAACTACCTGAAGAAGAGGAAAAAAAAAAGCACTGTAAAAAAT